AAGTGAATGTTGATCTGTGCAGATCTGATCTGAATTGAGTTGTCCTGACTGATGCCATCTGAGAATGACACATCATTTCTTTAATTCATTTTATCCCAGACTTCCAGTGTTTGTGCATTTTACAAATTACTTTTAATCTAGCTAAACAAAAACTCATCAGCACAAAGAGAGATCAGTGGTCTCTTATGAAGTTTAATTTATGAGTTACAGTTTCATCATCAACCTGCTGGTTTTTTTTAATTCTTAGAGATATTGAGGTTCATGATTCCTCTCAGGTTTAGCTGTAGTAGCTGCAGGAGTTAATCACATTTTGGTGCTATTGCAGCTAAGTCTTACAGAGTTTATGCATCTAAAGCTTCTTCGTCCTGATTGTGGGCTTCTCTGCTGGGGTTTTACTTGGAAAGACCTGGAAGAGGTCACATCCATGTGCCTGCTTTTCTCCTAGCTGGCTGATTAGCAAGCAGTAGACTATGCAAACTAGTTGTATCTGAGATGACGAAAGAGGAAGCAGTCTCAGACCTGTAAGATAAACTCTAAGCTTGGATAGCCCTGTGAGGGTATACTTCAGGGTTGCTTTTATGGAGAGTACACTTTTTGGAAGGTTATTATTAATTACTAGTAGTAAGATATTAAAAGCCATTCGGGGAGCTACACATGAGGAGAGGAAATGTTGGTGAAAATGTTGCTTTCATAGTCCTATGTGCGGAATTAGTAGATGGCACCCATTTATGCTAGGATGAATGCTTGCAGTAACGTTCAAATTTTTATCACTGTGATTTGACAGAGTTTGTCTTCTTCCTAATGCACAGATCTCAGATTTTCTGTCCAGCACAGGATAAAGCAGTATTTAACCTGCTCTCCCTTGTAGAACACTGTGGTCATCGCTAAGCATTTCATAATGTATCTGTGTTGTTGTATCAAGAAGGTTCCCTGTGTTAAAATAGAATGAAGGAGATGCTACCTAGCTGTCTTGAGTAATCTATTAAAATATAAATACATTGTCTGTGATTCTAGCATCAGATAAATACACAGTTCAAATAATAAAGATGCTTAGAGTAGAAAATGTTGTCCATGTGAATAGGTTACGCAATTGTGATTTTTATGTGTCACTAAATTATTGTAGTGGTTTTCACTGGGGAATGGGAAGGTAAATAATTCAGCAATAATGTACTGACCTGTGTCAGGGATAGCATATACCTGTTTATGTGCTTCCCTGTAGATGTCCTTGGCTGATCAGTTTTGCACGTGGCAGCTCTCAGACCATAGGTCCTGATCTGTGGTTTGGAGTTACATCCATGTACTTAGGGGAGTTGCTGCTTAGCCCAATGGTTCTAATTGTCCTGATAACTTCACTTCTAATGGGACAGCACATACTATGTGAATGCAAATAGCAGGATGGGACTTATAGCTTCGTCTGCTGCAGATTGTCTGCAAGCCTGATCTATCTATATCAAATTTGTGCTGTTTTCTAGAAATGTATCATAGAATAATAAAAATATCTCGAGTTGGAAGGACCCAATAAGGATCATCAAATCCAACTTGTCTTTGGGAGAACATATGACTTAGGTGGATAAGAATATTTGTTCAGAAAATGGAGGATTTAACTTAGGAAAATAATAGCAAACATCTTCTTATGCTTTTGAGTAATTAAGAGTGACATTTTACGTTGTTTTTGTTATGTTTTGCTCCCTTTGTGAGTTTCCAGCACTACAGGAAGAATTAGCGTCCAAACGTATTCTACAACTTTATTAATATAAATGTATTTTATTTTTAATAAATAGTTTGGCAATACATGATTTGGTGTTGGAAAGCACCTCTTCAAGAATCATGCTTTCACATTTTTTGAATGAAGAAAATTCCTCAGACTGGTGAAACAAGATGTGGACTATCACTTCACTGTTTTGTCTGTGTGTCTTACATCATCAGAATGTGAAGCACAGACTTTCTTTGCTGTTAATTCTGGCCAATTTTAGCTTTGAAATCTGTGAAAAAGAAACTTGAATTACTTATTAAGACAGCTTACAGGTTGACTTTGAATTTTAACATTAGTAGAATAGCTGCCGTATTTTATTAGAAAAACCCCATCATAAAAACACTTTGCTAAAAGTCACAAATGAGAGATTAGGGAGTGAAATGGGGTAGTTGTGTGGAAATGAACAGATTCTTTCTCAGGGAGAGGTAGGGTCATTAAAATAACAAATTGTAGTGCATGAAACAAATATATCCTCTCTGGAGTGACCAGAGAAAGGCAGTGTGGAACAGAAACCCCTGAACGCCTTCAGAAATTTGTTTATCATCATT